ACACGGACGTCTTGAACACGGGACGTGTTGCGTTTCAAAACGCGCGCATCGAGGCAACTAAGGGCGCGCTATGCGACGCGACGGGGGCCGGCCGCCCACCCGCAGAGCACCTCCCATGCGAGGCCTCCCGTTTTGTTTTGCTGTTGCTTGTTTTTTTTTGGGGGGGGGTGGCTCCACGAGGGGGTCGATCGAGCGTCGCCGCACGTGCGGCGCCCGCGCGCGCTCGTCCAACTTGAGAAAGGCTTTCGGCCCCGCCTTTCGAGGCGGCCACCGGCAGCAACGCTGTGCGTTCGAGGCGTGTGCGAGCAATGGGGTGCGAGAGCGCCGCCGCGCGCTGCAGGGCGCGAGCCTCGCTGTGGCGATGCTGCCGGAACCTCCTGGACGTGCTCGGGGGTCCGGGTTCCGAGGCGCTGGAGGTGGGTGGGAATGAGGCTGGCGAAGTTGTTCGCCGCCTGCGGGCCCCCTGGGCCCGCTGTCAAACGACCGACGCGGGCCGGAGCACTGGTCCTGGGGGAGGCCTCGGGGCCTGGGACCCGCACCCGAAAGAACCCTCGCCGACAGATCTGCGAAGGGGGCCCCCCAACGGCGAGGCCGCCGAACGCTTCTCGGGCGGGGTGGGGAGGCACCCACGGGGCCCCGCGCCAACCGAGAGCTATGCCTCTCGAGGCCGTCCTGGAGGGTGTGGATTCCAGGCGTACTAGGTCTGGCAAGTGTGATGCTGCCATTCGGGCCAATCGAAGTGTTGCCCGTGCTAGTGTGCCGCAGGATGTGATAATGTCGCGTCTCATGGCTAAGAAGCTGGTCGGGAACGGCCCACTGGCTTGGAACTGTAGGCGCCCTGGTCGAAAACAGAGGTTGCGGCATGATCAGGCATTCTGCTCGTCCGACTTGGCCTCGCGGTGCGAGCGGCCTGTTGGTGAAGGCAGCCACTATTGTGCATGATTGTTGGGCCGCTGCAGGCCGGCAATGTTGTGGACGCTGGCGGGGCCCCTGCTCCCGGGCAGGCAGCGCGCCCGGGCTCTGGAGGCGAGACCAGTGCTGCTGTCGCCTGCTGGAGGTGCGGAGCCCACTTCGTCGAAGCCGCTGACGTCGCTGGCGATGCCCTGCGGGAAGGCAGGGGCGCATGGCCAGAGGGCCACTCAGCGACTCGAGGGCGGCTTCCTGCCAGGGTGCGGGAGCGCATCTCTGCCGTCGTTGAGGAGGCCTGCAGATGCCTGTGTGCGCGGCCCTCGGGCGAGAGCCTCGCCTCGTCCAAAATTATCCTGGCGAAGGGCCCAACCATACGCAATTCCGAATGCCGCCGTTGTAAGTATCGTCGTTGGTGGAACACCCGATGGGGCCACGAAGCGTGTGAGGGGTGCGCCGAAATGGAGGTGGAACCGCATGCGGACCCTGCCACTGGGAGTCACTGGGGCCTTTGGTGGAGCACCCTGTGGGGCCACGAAACGTGTGGGGGGTGCGCCGAAATGGAGGTGGAACTGCATGCGGACCCTGCCATTGGCGCCCTCGGTGGAGCTCCCTATGGGGCCGCGAAACGTGTGAGGGGTGCGCCGAAATGGAGGTGGAACTGCATGCGGACCCTGCCACTTGGGCCTTAGGCGGAGCTCTCTATGGGGCCACGAAACGTGTGAGGGGTGTGCCGAAATGGAGGTGGAACTGCATGCGGACCGTGCCACTTGGGCCTTAGGCGGGGCTCCCTATGACGCCACGAAACGTGTGAGGGGTGCGCCGAAATGGAAGTGGAACTGCATGCGGACCCTGCCACTTAGGCCTTAGGCGGAGCTCCCTATGGGGCCACGAAACGTGTGAGGGGTGCGCCGAAATGGAGGTGGAACGCATGCGGACCCTGCGTCGGTGAGGGGTGCGCCGAAATGGAGGTGGAACCGCATGCGGACCCTGACACTTGGGCCTTCGGTGGAGCTCCCTATGGGGCCACGAAACGTGTGAGGGGTGCGCCGAAATGGAGGTGGAACCGCATGCGGACCCTGACACTTGGGCCTTCGGTGGAGCTCCCTATGGGGCCACGAAACGTGTGAGGGGTGCGCCGAAATGGAGGTGGAACCGCATGCGGACCCTGACACTTGGGCCTTCGGTGGAGCTCCCTATGGGGCCACGAAACGTGTGAGGGGTGCGCCGAAATGGAGGTGGAACCGCATGCGGACCCTGACACTTGGGCCTTCGGTGGAGCTCCCTATGGGGCCACGAAACGTGTGAGGGGTGCGCCGAAATGGAGGTGGAACCGCATGCGGACCCTGACACTGGGGCCTTCGGTGGAGCTCCCTATGGGGCCACGAAACGTGTGAGGGGTGCGCCGAAATGGAGGTGGAACCGCATGCGGACCCTGACACTTGGGCCTTCGGTGGAGCTCCCTATGGGGCCACGAAACGTGTGAGGGGTGCGCCGAAATGGAGGTGGAACCGCATGCGGACCCTGACACTTGGGCCTTCGGTGGAGCTCCCTATGGGGCCACGAAACGTGTGAGGGGTGCGCCGAAATGGAGGTGGAACCGCATGCGGACCCTGACACTTGGGCCTTCGGTGGAGCTCCCTATGGGGCCACGAAACGTGTGAGGGGTGCGCCGAAATGGAGGTGGAACCGCATGCGGACCCTGACACTTGGGCCTTCGGTGGAGCTCCCTATGGGGCCGCGAAACGTGTGAAGGGTGTGCCGAAACAGCGAACATGCGGGGGGCAGAGGCAGGGATGGGAGGAGGAGGGAGGAGGAGGGGGAGGAGGAGGAGAGGAGGAGAGACGCGGGGCACCGTCTCTTCAAAACGAGGACCCAACACCACAGGATGGTTGGGAAAAAAGAAGACGGTTGAGGGTGAGGGTGAGGAGGAAGGGGGGGGGGATAGAGGAGGAGGGCAAGGAGGGGGAGGAGGGGGGATAGAGGGGGGGAGGGGGCGCGCGCGTAATGATGGCATGGCCAGGTGCCTTCCTCAGCCAGAAGGGAGGAGGGGGTGCGCGCAACGATGGAATGGAGGAGGGGTCGGGGAAGGAGGGGGAGTAGACTGAGGATGAGGATGGGAGTGGACTCGGCAAAGAGGCACTGTGCCGAGGGAGCGGGCCAGGGAGGGGCGGAACCCACACCCCCAACGTCTCGAACAAACGCACGGCAGAGGGTTTGTCCGACCTGTCGGCGTCTGGAGGTGGGGGGGCGTTGCCGAGCGGGCCACCACAGACAATCCAGGGCACGCCCCCGCTTCCCCCCTCCCTGCGGGAGGGGTTCCACAGCTGCAGGGCCCGCGCAGTGAAGCAACTCAGGACATCGACGGACTGGAGTAAGGAGCCCACAAAAGGACGTACGCGCCAAACCACGTGCATGAATACGGCCCCACGGTCCGCGAGACCCGCCTCGTGATACGAACGTTCGCGCAATGCGCACCTTCGAGACTAACGTGAATGCATGAACGAACGTGTACGTCCTTCTTTCGCTCGTCATGATGGGAAGGGGGAAGCAAAGGTGTCGTGTTCGATGGCTCCTGGAGGTTTCTCAGATTCCCCTGAGGTTTTTGTTTTGGGAGTGGGTCCAGAAGCTAGGAGAGGACACTGTGAGGGGGGAGGAGAGGATGCGAAGGTGCAAGCAGCGGGTGGAACGAGGAGAATGGCGACCTCGCAATGGCCGCCCAACCACCATCTAGAAAAGGCGCTTGGGTATGCGCGGCAGGGATAAACAAGGGAAACCGGGAAGGCATGAAGCAGACATACTAATACTGGGAAGACACAGAAGAACAAGAAGAAGAAGAAGAAGTGGAAACGAGGAAGGATGATGATCCGTCGACAGGTGCCCAGGGCGGCTGGACAGAGCGACAGGGAAGATGAGACAGAGGAGGATACTTAATGAGGTAGCGGAGGCAGAGCCGACGGCGAAGGTGGATAAGGACAAGTGGGGGACGGGGAGCAGAAGGACGCGGAGATGGATGGCGAAGCAGGAGCAGCAAGACGAGGAGGAACAGCGCGCGACGAGAACACTGCCACCGTCTATGGTAACATCATGTCGCTCTAAGTCGTGCTCGCGTCTCGTGCTCGCGGGGGCACTGGATATGACTGACACTTTGAGTTTACCTAGGGTCTACGCAAGCAAGCTCGACGTGACATGCGTGCGAGCGGCAAGACAAACCAATGTCGAATCGTGACATCGGATCAAATCGAACGTGCGTCGGATCAGGCTGAACCGGCACAAGGCCGCAAACGAATCGGATCGACAGCGCCAGGATGCACAACAACGCCGTGCAAGTATCGAGCCGCATCTGACTGCTGAGGCTGAAACGCTGGGATCGAATCGGACTGGGTTGGTCGACATCGGCATCGAAGCGAATCGATCGGACCCTGGCCTGAACGGCCCCCAGAGGTGCGTTCCCAGCCGGCTCCTAGCCCAAACGCACCATCTCCTTCACCCCATTCCCATGCTGCTGCTCCTCCTCGTCTTCCTCCTCTTCCTCCTCCTCCTCCTCCTCCTCCTCCTCCTTCTTCTCCTCCTCCTCCTCCTCCTCCTCATCCGCATCTTCCTCCTCCTCCCCCTCCCCCTCCTCCCCCTCCTCCCCCTCCTCCCTGATGCTTCTGCCGCTGCTGCCACTGCTGCCTCATGTCTGCCCTCCTCCTCCTCCTCCTCTCCCTTTTTCCCCCCTCCTGCCGCCGATGCTCCTCCCACCCCCTCCTGCCTGGTGCTCCCCCTCCTCCTGTCTGATCCTCCGTCTCCCCCCTCCTCCTCCTCCTCCTCCTCCTCCTCCTCCTCCTCCTCCTCCTCATCCTCCTACTCCTCCTCCTGCCTGACGATCCCGTCGCCGCTGCCGCTCTTGCCACAGGCTGCCGCTGCGGCTCCTCTCCTGTCCCGTGCTGCCTCCAGTCTACCTCATCCGTGGATTTCCTCCCTCCCTCCCTCTTCCTGCCTCTTCTCTCCATCGTCATCCCTCTCCGCCTCCTCCTGCTGCTGCTGCCGCGCCTCCCCCGCCCTGCACGCCACTCGCTGCCTCGCCTTCTCGCGCGGCGCGGCCCGGGGGCCTCAGCCCACGCGTCGGCCTCCGTGCCGCCCGTGTCGCCTGGGCAGGTGCGGCCCGCAGCGCCAGCCCCAAGGTTCTCCTCCTCCTCTTCTTCTTCTTATTATTATTATTAGTATTATTATTATGCTTATCCTTCTTATTATTCGTCTTATTCTCCTTATTCTTCTTATTAGTATTATTATTAGCATCAATAATTGTATTATTACTTTTATTACTAGTATTACTATTATTATTATTATGATAGTTACTATTATTATACTTCTTCTTATTATTAGCATTAATAATATGCTTATTGTTATTCTTATGGTACCCATAATTATTTAACTATTATTACTCTTCTTTTGCCATATCTACTGATATTATGAGTATGATTATCATGTTTTACGGGCGCAGCCCGTAATTTGATTTTCGCGAGGTAGACAGACTGAACTGAACCACCAGGCCGTTAGATGGCAGTTTTATTTCCGTGGGTGAGGATATTTCGGTGGCAGTTGTAAGCCAGCGGGTGAGGGTATTTCTGTGGCAGTTTTAAGCCAGCGGGTGAGGATATTTCGGTGGCAGTTTTAAGCCAGCGGGTGAGGATATTTCGGAGGCGGCTTTAAGAAAGCGGGTGAGGATATTTCGGTGGCAGTTTTGAGCCAGCAGTTGAGGAAATTTCGGTGTTTCAGCGGGTGAGGATATTTCGGTGGCAGTTGATTCCCGCGGGTGAGGATATTCTGATAGCAGTTTAAGCCAGCCGGTGAGGATATTTCGGTGGCAATTTTCAGCCAGCGGGTGAGGATATTTCGGTGGCAGATTTATTTCCGCGGGTGAGGGTATTTTGGCGGCAGTTATAAGCCGGCAGATGAGCATATTTGGGTAGCAGTTTGATTCCCGCGGATGAGGATATTTCGGTGGCAGTTCTAAGCCAGCGGGTGAAGATATTTCGGCGGCAGTTTTCAGCCAGCGGGTGAGGATATTTCGGTGGCAGTTTCAAGCCAGCGGGTGACGATATTTCGGAGGCAGTTCTATTTCCGCGGGTGAGGATATTTCGGTGGCAGTTTTAAGCCAGCGGGTGAGGATAGTTCGGTGGCAATTTCATTTCCGCGGGTGAGGATATTCCGGAGGCAGTTTTAAGCCAGCGGGTGATGATATTTCGGTGACAGTTTTAAGCCAGCGGGTGAGGATATTTCGGTGGCAAGTTTATTTCCGCGGGTGAGGATATTCCGGTGGCAGTTTGAAGCCAGCGGGTGAGGATGTTTCGGTGGCAGTTTTAAGCCAGCGGGAAAGGATATTTCGGTGGCAGTTTTAAGCCAGCGGGTGAGGATATTTCAGTGGCAGTTGTAAGCCAGCGGGTGAGGATATTTCGAAGGCAGATTTAAGCCAGCGGGTGAGGATATTGCGGTGGCAGTTTCAAGCCAGCGGGTGACCATCACCCGCTCTATAACACCTCGATAACACCCGATAACACCACGATAATATGTTTTCGAGATGTGTTCGAGATGTTATCGAGGTGTTATCGAGGTGCTATCGAATGTGATCGAGCTCGATAACGCTCGAGAGCACCTCGATACCACTCGATGGCACCTCGATAGCATGAGGTGTTATCGATGTGTTATCGAGTGTTATCGAGCGGTGGCAGTGTCAAGCCAGCAGGTGAGGATATTTCGGTGGCAGTTTTATTTCAGCGGGTGAGGATATTTCGGTGGCAGTTTCAAGCCAGCGGGTGAGGATATTTCGGTGGCAGTTTAAGCCAGCGGGTGAGGATATTTCGGAGGCGGCTTTAAGAAAGCGGGTGAGGATATTTCGGTGGCAGTTTCATTTCCGCGGGTGAACATATTTCGGTGGCAGATTTAAGCCAGCAGGTGAGGATATGTCGGTGGCAGTTTTAAGCCAGCGGGTGAGGATACTTCGGTGGCAGTTTTAAGCCTGCGGGTGAGGATATGTCGGTGGTAGTTTTAAGCCCGCGGGTGAGGATATTTCGGTGGCAGTTTTATTTCCGCGGGTGAGGATATGTCGGTGGCAATTTTAAGCCAGCGGGTGAGGATGTTTCCGTGGCTGCATTGATCCAGCGGGCGAGGATATTTCGGTGGCAGTTTTAAGCCTGCGGGTGAGGATATGTCGGTGGTAGTTTTAAGCCAGCGGGTGAGGATATTTCGATGGCAGTTTTAAGCCCGCGGAGGAGGAGGAGAAGGAGGAGGGAGGAACAGAGAATATCTGTGCTCGGCGCGGGCATCCAGCCGCCACGCGATGCGTCATTCGCTTGGTTGGCCCAGCCGACGGTTACGCATCCAGCGCGGTGCTGCGCCCGTATATATGCTCGCCCCTTGGCGTGGGGCTGGCGGGGGGCCAAGGGGCGAGCTGTCCGGTGATTCGTAGTATGTTTCTTATTCTCCTTCGCATTCGTGTGATTCGTATTGTTCCTCCTCCTCCCGCTCCTCCTTTTCCTCCTTCTCCTCCTCTTCCTCCGCCTCCTCCTCTTCCTCCTCCTCCTCCTCCTCCTCTTCCTCCTCCCCCTCCTCCTCCACCTCCTCCTCCTCCTCCTCCTCGTCCTCCTCGTCCTCCTTTTCCTTTTCCTCCTCTTCCTCCTCCTCCCTCCTCCTCTTTCCTCCTCCTCCTCCTCCTCCTCCTCATCCTCCTCCTCCTCCTCCTCCTCCTCCTCCTCCTCCTCCTCCTCCTCCTCCCCCTCCTCCTCCCGAGAAGCAGAGAGGCAGGGAACGAGGGAGGGAAGCCGAGGAAAGGACCCAGGTATCCAGCGCCTGGAACGTACCTGTCACAGATGCGTGCGCTTCATTTTTTTGGGGGATTCTGGCGGCATTTGCCGGACTCCGGGCCTCGTCTAGAAACATAACGACTCGGAACGGAAAGACGGCCGTGAGAAAAGGTCGGGGCTTCCGGAGACCCCGTCTTGAAACAAATCCAGTCGTCGAATGTTTGGGGAGGGAGAGAAGAGGGGAGCGTCAGAATCTCACGGAAGCCGAAATGACGGGGGGTCAGTGCGACTCCAATCTCTGACTTCGTGGGGCTTTCGGCTGGACCCCACTTCGGGCCCAGCTCGGAGACGAACGAGAGGCGGGGGGGCGCCGATCCTCGACAATGGCGCGTCCGCCTCGGGGCCCCGCGGGTGCACCCCCGAGCCCCTAGACAGGCGCGCTCCACTACTCGCAAAGTAACTACTCGCAAACGGCCTGGATCCGCCGCTGGGCATTTACGATCTATTGCATCGAGGCGAACAAATGTGTTTGTCAGACGTTTGCGGGTAGGAACTCTGCGAGTAGTGGAACGCGCTCGGTGAGCCCTCTCTTTCCCCGACCAGTCCATACCACTTGTCTGCAGGGGCCCGAGCTCCCAAGTGGTGCCGGACTCCCTGTGGTCATCGTCAATGCCTACCACAAGCTTCTCAAAGAAAGCGGCCTTCTCGCCGCGGTGGCCGTCGTCTCGCCACATTCTGGCAGGGACTGACGCTGATCTTCATCTTCAGATTCCTCGTTGGCTTGGTTTCCGTCGCGTCTGGCCTCAGCCGTCGTTCATTATGTTCTTGTCCCCCCCCCTTTCTCTGACTACCTGCCAGACCACCCCAACCTAACCCGAAGCCCCGAATTTTGGGTTCGGGGGGGGTACGGGTTCTACGCGTGATTTTTCAATCCTCCCCGACCCCCCCCACTGCAAGTGAGGGGCACACACGTTCTGTTCAGCGCCGCCTTTGCGCGGTGCCAGCGTTGAACCGCCCGTTGCTGCGGCGGCAACCGCGTCGCCAGAGTGCCCCGCTGCAAGGGTCGTTCGGCCGTCCGCGCCAGGGCGCCCAGCTCCGCAAATGAAAACGTTTTGGCACGGGTTGGGGTGGTTTGGTGGGCGGTGATTTTTCCCTGCACGGCCAACACTCGGGCAAGGAGCTCGGGGGCGAGAGCTCGCCTGCGGCATCGAGGGAGGGGGGCCGAGGGCAGGGGGCGCCGGCCTGGCCCTCCTGCCAGCGAGGATCGGAGGTCGACGACCCTTGCATTAAGTCGGGCCTGTCCCCCTACAGGCCGATTTGGGACGAAAAATTAAAAATAGCCAAAATAAGATCTCCATACATCATCATATATATATATATATATATATATATATATATTAAAAAATCCCCAAACAGCTTGCTGAACGGGGTGCTGTTGTGATAGAAGCTAACTCCGGCCGGGGGAAATGGAAGCAGAGACATCCTTACAACAATTTGATGGTCCGGACCGTTTCGCTTGAGACATCCTCACAACTCTCGTTTCTGAGTTGGCCTGGATTGGCCGTTTCGCCTGAGACATCCTCGAAAAGTTGCGCTCTGGGACGCCGCGCGAGAGGTGGTCCGGGCCGTTTCGCTTGAGACATCCTCGAAACTCAAAGCCCCGAGGTGCCGTGCGGGAGGTGGTCCGGGCCGTTTCGCCTGAGACATCATCGAAACTCTGAGCTCTGAGATGCCTTGCGCGAGGTGGTCTGGCCCGTTTCGCCTGAGACATCCTCGAAACTCTGACCTCGGAGATGCCGCGCGAGAGGTGGTCCGGCCCGTTTCGCCTGAGACATCCTCGAACTTCTGAGCTCTGAGATGCCCTGCGCGAGGTGGTCCGGCCCGTCTCGCCTGAGACATCCTCGCATCTCTGAGCTCTGAGATGCCGTGCGCAAGGTGGTCCGGCCTGTTTCGCACAAGACATTCTCGCAACTCTGAGTTCCCAGATGCCGCGCAAGAGGTGGTCCAGCCTGGGGGCCCAGAAGACCACATGTTACATATCCTCCCTGGGCCCTCGCCCTCACCTCCTTCAGACGACCAGAGAGCACGACGCGCGGGCTTGTTTACGCACCGTCTCCGTGGATCCGCAAGCCCGATTGTCGTGAACCCTTGTCGTCTCGTAGGCAGGCCACGCTCTTCGACATCGCGAGGAGAAGGTGCGTGCCAGATCATTGGACGGTTCTTGACCAGAGAAGAACAGGTCCCGCTGCGATCGCCTAAGAGTGTATCGCCGTATCGATGACGACGTCGATGGTGTGAAAGGCGGTGCCGCCACATAATGAACTTGTACCAGTCCGAGCTGGCAAGCACGTCGTCTTCGTCTTCACCCTTTCAGTCGTATTACGTATCCTCGCTCTCTCGGTATGAGGCTCACATGTAACTTCTTGGCAGACTTCTTGGAGAATCTCGTGACTAGGCGAAGCCTGGAACATCAGCGTTGGCATCGGTGGGAGGCGCCTTCGGGGAGGGGACCCGTGACAATTTTTCGCTGCGCGTCACGATGACGCCCTCGTGCCGACATCACGTAGCCAGTCTTGAAAAATGAGCGGGATATCCTCGTGCTCCTCGTCCTTCTCTTTTTCTCCGTCTCCCCTGCCGCCTCCCAGCTTGTAGCCAGCTCGTTCGCCTGCCACCAAAGGGTGCCTGTAGCGTGCTGGACCTGGACATCGACGACGACAACGACGGCGGCGGCGTTGACGGCGAGGACAAGAGGGAACTTCCACCAGGTCGCCTGCCATCATGCCGGACACCACGGTGCCGAGGGTGCGCTGGAGGTTGGCCGCGGCTGCCTCCGAAGGAGAGGCTGTTGGATGAGTTGCTGCGAAGGTCCTCCTCCTCCTCCTGCTCTTCATTCTGCTGGTTCCACTCCTCCTCGTCCATGTCCTCCTCGTTCTTCTTCTCCTTCCCTTTCATTACCGTTTCTCTCCTGTTCCCCTTCCTCCTCCGCACCCTCTTCCTCCCTCATCTCCCTCCTTCCTCCGCCTGACCCCCCTCCTCGTCTCTCCTCCCCCTCCTTCCGCTGCTCCTTTCAGTCCTCCATCCTCCTCCCCCTTCCCCCTGGTCTTCCTCCTGTCCCTCCCTCCCTCCTTCTGCTCTCTCCTTCTGATGTCGTTTTCCCTCCTCCTTCTTCTTGTTCCCCCCGTGGAGCTCCTTCCGGGACAACGAAACGTGCCATGGGGTGTGCCGGAAGTGGGGCGGCGCAACCAGGAGGTAGCGCCCACTGATCACATATGTGGAGCTCCCTACAAAGGCCACGAACAGCGTGCGAGGGGTGTACTGAAAAAGGGCGCGCCGCCGCCTGGGCCATCAAGGGAACGCTCTGCGTGCCACGCAAATCGCGTGCGGAGTGTGCCGAGAAGGGGGGGGGGGCGCCTGGCGGCCGCGCCCGCTGAGACTGCGTAGGCCGTTCCTTACGGGACCACGGAGCAGTGCGAAGGGGGTGCCGAACTGGAGGCGGCGCCGCCATGCGATCGCGCCCGCGGAGAACGTAGGTGGAGCTCTCTATTGATTAGGCATACAAGGACCCCTTTCCCTTTTTGTAGGGACCTGAATTTGGAGGGCCAGGAGTATTAGGGACAAGAGGTCTTTTCTGCAGATGTATCGAGCCAAACTGCCCAGATCTATTATCCCTAATGCGAAGACGGGGACTTCAATGCGGCCACGTCTTCATTGTGTTATTAGGGTTAGGGGTTCTTTTATCCTCAATGGTCTATGAGGTCACGAAACATGTGCGTGGTGTGGCGCCTGTGGGCATGCGAATAGCATTGGAATGATGGATGGGGGAGGAGGTCAGAAAGTGGGTCGCAGAGCTGCTGATTCAGGACGGAGACCCAGCTCAAACATACACCCACAAGCTTTTTTGCGTCGGCGGCTAGGCAGAGTGACTGCTCGGGCGGATGGGGCGAATGTAGGGCATACAACTGCTGATTAAGCCGCGGGGCACGGATGGAGGAGGAAGGCCTGGCGCAGACACACACGCACACTCACCCACGCGCACACACACACGATGGTTGGGAATTGAGTGCTGGCCAGCATTGTCGTTATACCATGTCCACACAGAAGTTGATGGTTCCCATCTCATATACCAACTTGCTAAGCAAGCAATGCGACTGTGTGTTGTGTATTGTTACGGTTTCTTGAGTGTGACATCATTCAGGCCTTGTGCTATTCATTTCTGGGGTTATGGCCATCTACAACTTGTTCGGACAAGTGAAGTTCGCCAACACGTGCCCCAACCAGTGTGTTACATGAGATCTATATATGCACATGTATACGTGCATGTTGCTCTCATCAGGCTGATGGCAATGACCATTTAACCATCGATGCCGAGGAGCGCTCCAGTCGTCAGAGTGCCAAGCGCAGAAGTGTGGGGACAGAGTGGGGCGATACGATTCAAGCCCAAAACGTATCCCACCGTGGGGGAGAGGAAGAGGGAGGAAAAGGAAAGAGAAGGAGGAGAGGGGGAGAAGAGGAATACACCAAAACACCTGGAGCTGCCCTCCAGCCAAGCTGTCATAGGCGAGCCGTTGCCTGCAACCAGGGTCTTGCGAAACTGAAAGACATGCGGACTAGAAATCAGAGCCCAAGCTCCGTGAACGACCACGTAAACTTGAAAGCCCGTGTGGCGCGAAACGAGGCAACTCAAACCGAGGCGAACTCACCGCCAGGCAAAGGAAACGAACACTCGCGAGTCCTGCACATGGACGCGAGTAAAGCATCTAAGAAGATGGCAACCAACACTGTTCCCCATCCAACCTCTCGCATGGCATGCGGCCACCCGTGCACATGGACGCGGCACGAGGAAGTAAAGCATCTAAGAAAGGGAAGGAGGAGCAGGCAGCGGAGGATGCCCAGCGGATTTCTGTACATTTCACCGCATGTGGAATCCCTCCCTTAACAGTGCAGGGGCGGGCAAGCCACTGCGGCTTCAATTGCGCTTCCTGCTGTGATCGTTTACGCGCTCTTCTGGACGCACAACGCCTGGCGCCGACGACCCCTCACCACGATCCGCAACTGCGGGGTGCTACACAGATCCGGACTCCTTTCTAGGAAGGGGATTTCTATATCTATACACAAATATATATACACGTAGTGTATTGCAATATGTGTTGTGCACTCTACGTGGTGCAATAAATCCATGTGGTGGAATCCACACGGTTCAATGTATGTGGTGCAAGCTATGTGGTATGTGGTGCAACGAAGTGCACAACAAAGCCCAGACGACGGGTGGCGACGAGGCGACGACGGCTGCAACATAGCCGCCAGAGCGGCAGGCAGGCCCAGACGACGGGGGACGACGAGGCGGCGACGTGGCGGCGACGACGACAACATAGCCGCCAGAGCGGCAGACAGAACCAGATCCTGAAAGTAGAAGTGAGAGCCCCTAAGTGCAATCACTGTTTTGGGGGCAAATGGGGGAAAATGCTGTGTTTGGGAAGTTGAAGTGATTCTTCGTGATGTGCGAATGTAAGTGGTACGCTCCTTCTAAACTTACCCAGGACCTAATGAACAAATAAACGAACCGCGCATCTCTTTGCCACGAGTGCAAA